TAAACGGTGTAGACGGTGTAAACGGTGTAAACGGTGTAGACGGTGTAAACGGTGTGGACGGTGTAAACGGTGTAAACGGTGTAAACGGTGTGGACGGTGTAAACAGTGTAGACGGTGTAACCGGTGTAGACGGTGTAAACGGTGTATGGACGGTGGACGGTGTAAACGGCGTAGACGGTGTAAACGGTGTAGTCGTTGTGGCTGGTTTTCTCGGTGTAACCGTGTAACCGGCGTTGTCAGCGCAAGTGGCACCACTGATAGAATGTCGATCGAATTAGTAGAGTCGGCGTTGCCGACTATGCCGGCGTAGTCGGAATATCACGTGAGCTCGGGTTGTGTTGACTCGTGTCGCTCCAGCTTGTGAATTTTGCAGTTTCAATAAAAAGAAACGCTCAAAGAACATCAAACGCACCACTTTGTTCCGTTATTTGCCGGTCACTACCACGTGCGCCCTTTGCGTCATCCTGGCGGCAACAGATGTGGTCATGAACTCACACGTCAAAGCCATCGGGCGCCGCCACAGCCTATAGAGTCTTCAGTAAGCGTCTCTGGGTTCGATGCAAAAAACACTTGGCCACACTCAGCCCTAGAATGGCTTTGACAGCAGCTGAGAACTGATAATTCATGCCCAACTTCCGGGCACTATAGGTAGATTGAGTATATATATTCTGAGTGCAACAGCAGGATCCAAGGACAACAGGGCGGGGGAAGAAACAACACCAGAAGGAGAAACAAGAAGAAACGGGGAGAGTGAGGAGTTGAGCCACGACCGGCCGGCAACCTCTACCCCAACCCCACCTGTCTACCTCTAGCCCCACCCAACCTGCAACCTCTAACTAGCCTATCTACGGCGCGACCTGCGACCTGAAATGGCTGCGGCGGCGCGGCGGCTGCGAGGCGCGGCGAGGAAGCGACGGGGGAGCGGCGACGGCGCGGCGAAGGCGCGGCAAGGGGAGAGGACGGTAGGAAAGCGAGAACGAACGAACAAAAGAATAACAAATCAGGAAAACAAGGCCGAAAAGGAGAACAGACGACAAAATGAAGGTCTAGGTGGCTTGAAGTGAAATCTCGAGCCTTCATTGAAATGTTCCAAATGCTGTCGGTGGAACTCACAGCGAGCGAGCAAATGATTTACATTTTGATTTTCGGATGGGGTCACTTGCAGCCACTTGCTCAGGCAGCCACTTGCAGCCACTTGTCACTGAAGCAGGTAAACTTCAAGCACTGCTTCGCAAGAGGACTACTGTTGCGAGCGTCAGGCAGGCAGGAAAAGGGCACGGAACAAAAATGAGAGATATCAGGTGACAAGCTCTACATGGCACAAATCAAATGTCAACGCCCGTTTTAGCCGCTTTGTATAAAAAAGCTTTCCAAGCTAAGAGGTCAGAGGGCATGGGCATGGCTCTGTCTCACATGAGACGCCCAAACGGGACAGTGGAAATCGCAACGCAAAACTCCACTCAACTTTAAGCATTACCTGCTCAAATGGCTGTTGAAAGATGGCCTGAAACTTGCCACCCCCGCTTCAGACAAAGCAGGATGCACTCGCTTGCAATCGCTTGCGTTCCTCATCAGCTGCAGGGAACGCCTTCAGCTCATCTGCGGTGGCCCGTCGGTACAGCTTGGCGCGGAGACCACGCTTGTGCCCCTTCTTCCTGGGCACCTGGTTTTCGTCATCAGACGCAGGTTCCTTCCGAGCCTCCAAGAGCACCAGAAGGCCAACTTCCTCAAACAGTGAAAGGCTGGTGCGTGCGAAGATGTGCAATTGCAAGGTGAAACAGGGATCTATATACTAGAAGTCACGAGTGCTGAATTATTTGTGGAGGGTGAAGAACGATGGTTTTGCCGGGTAGAAATCACTAAGACAAGCGTCCTTCAACTCACAGAAGGCTTTGTCCACCTTCGTTGCCTCACACCCGCCTCCACGGAACCGGGTCCGTAAAGCATCCCGGGCAGCACTGGTGGAAAAGCTCTGGACCAACTTAGGGTGGCTCAAGGCAAAATGCTTGATCAAATCCAAGCCCTCCAGCTTGAGCTTCTTCCTGTCGGTCTCGGCTTTGGAGATTTCTCTGGCAAGCCCCGGCGTAGACTTGTCTTTGTCATCCTTGGCAACAATGTTCAATAGTCTTGGAAGACGGCACGCTGGTTCCGTGTGGAGCTAAGCTGACAGTCCCACACCCCGCAGCAACGGCTATAGAGAGTTTGAAGTTGCAAGACTACGAGTTCCGGACCCCTACAACCCTGGTCACAAGTGAAAAGAAGCTGAGCAGCGACTTTCGACTCCGATTGCAACATGAACAGGTAGTAGCCGCGGTGGAGGGCCACTTGCCTCAACCATAGGTGCACTGCTGCCATCATTTCCCAAGCATTGATCTCACAGCGGTGCCAGGTCTGGGTGTCTTTGGAGATCGGGCACAAGCTTTCGATGTATTGCGCCTTAGACGACGGAATCGGGCGACCAGGGGAAAGAGGGGCACCACATGGAATATCACGGAACGCTATGTGCGTCAGGGCTGCTTGTCGCATCGCTGCAAACGCAAAGCGTGGAATGTCGGTGCCATAGAACTGAATCTTTTTCAAGAAGTACCGGTTGATGATCTCGCCCTTGTCGACTTTGCTGTCAGCCCAGTCCCTGATGGCCCTTCCCACAGTTCTCAAAATGGACAATGCGAAACCATCTGGACAAACATGGACAGGACACTCGAACGGCCCTTTGAACTGAAAGTCATGGCACCCTTGCAAAACACCCGTGCTGATCCCAGTGCGCAAATCCTCATTGATGGCGTTAGCACGCGGGCTGATGGCAAAGGAAAGGCGCTTTTGCCAACCATTGATAGAAGGTCCTTAATCAATTCTGGGCTCAGAAGGAACGAGCAATCATCACAGCAAAAAGAACACACAGGGTAAGGCACTGGCGGGCAACCCATTCCAGGACCTCAACCTGACCAAAGGCTTTGAGCTGCATGGCGTACTCCGTGTAGTGCTCCGGGCCAGCGCCCGTGATGACGGAGTCCGGGTCACACTGGGTGAAAGTGTTCATCTTCGCTCTGCTGAGGTAGTGGACTCCATTGTTTGGATCGCTCCACGGCGTCGCCATCATGTTTGCCAGCTCGTCACAGGACGCGGAGACCCGGGAGTTTGACTTGATGGCGTTTCTGATGCCTTTCAGGGTGGCTTCTGTCAAGTACACGCTCTTCAACCAAGCTGGCGCTTCTTTCGATTCGGCGACCAGGTTCTTGGTCCAGTCGCTGAGCGAAGACTTCCTGGACGAGGCTTCGCCGCCCAGAAGCACCGGGATATTCGGAGAGAAGGTGAACACAGTTTCGACTTCCTCCACGCAGGCCACCTGAGCGAAAATTGCTGGTCACTCGACGAGTAAAAAGAACACAAGACCATCAAAAACAAACTGGTCACAGGGCCAAGGCGCCTCTGCTGCAACCGCGTCTTCATGAGGCTCTTGACCGCTGTCTCCACAGGAAGCTTGGGCAGCAGCAGGTTGAGAAGGCTGACCTTGGGAAGCTACTGGTTCGAGTTGCGAGGCTCCACCCATTCGTTCATGAATTGCACTCTTCAGAGCGTACTTTGCAGGCAAAAGGGCGTCTTTTTCCATGTGCGCTTCCTCCTCAAGCTTCAACCGAATCTGCTTGAACGTGGCTGTTTCTAGGTTCCCCTGTGCATCCAGTTGGGACAGAACAGCGTCCAAAACAGACAGAAGGTCATCAGTCACCAAGGCATGGGTTTGGATATCTGATTGCGATGCTTTCTGGATATGCTGCCGGCATGGGGTTACCTCTCCCTTTCGCCGTCGCTTGGTGGACTTTGGGGGGCTGGACTGCATTGGTAGGTCATCGGCTTCTTGGAAGAGAAGTCCTTTGCCGTCTGGCCGGGGCTCCTGGGCAAGGCGGGTAGCGGGGTTCTCCAACCACATCAGGTTGCTGATGACGCAAAGCATGAGAGACTCAGGGTGCCAGCCATTCTTTTCAGCACATGTGTGCACTGCTGAGAGGGTCTGGCGGGGCATCAGGAGGCGCATGTTGAAATCAGAGTCCTCAGCGAGCTCCCTGTGTGAACGGGTGCCATCCACCATGTCTTCCAAGCGCTTTTGGATGGTGTTGTAGATCTCGTCTTCCGTGGCAAATCCTTCTGCAATGTCGGCTGGCCACATGACCTGGATGAGTTGCTCGAAAGTGGTTGCTGCCTGGACTGACTTGATCTTTTCCACGGTTGGGTCGGGGTCCATCTCACTCCTGTTGCGCCGAGCACTTGTCAGCTTGAAGCCGCCTGGCAATCTGAAGGGTGTTGGTTAAC